TAAACTAGGACTAATCAGATTGTATTTATAATAGCCTTTTCTATATGTTCTCCAGACCTTTTCAGCACTCTAAACAAAAACTAAAGCCAACTGCTGAGGCCCCCAGACCAGCATATCAATCAGAGAACCAGATAATATCCATTACAAGAGGAAGAAGGGGTTGAGATTTCCTAGTTTTTGGTGAATTCAGTCTGTTCTTGTGTTTCACCTCACAATTACAAATGTGATTTATATTTAATTAATTTATCCTAAAATTTAAACTGAACTCATCACTGACATCTTTTGTGACCCTGACCATTAAGCAAAAAGCTGTTGAGACGTCATGGTTTTGTCAGATTGACAACTAGCGCCACCTCGTGTCCATTCATGAACAGTACAACGCAAGGAGTTTGACTTGGTTTTATCTGTTTACAAGTGAGTTTATTATATTATACATTTATTTATATATATATATATATATATAATTATATTTTCTACAAAATATAATATTTTTTGTAATTTGCAATACAGCTTAGTAAACAAATGATAATTACAATAGGCTAGTAACCTATCACATTTAAGTCGAGCTTATTTACTTATACACACATAGTTAAATACTTATATACACATAGTTAAATATATTAACAATAATCTGGAAGGTGTTTTTTTTTCAACATAATAACGTGAATAAGAATTTGGTCTGTAAAATTTGGTCAGTTTCATTAAAAGTAGGCCTAGTCGATATGACTCGTGCACTAGGCCTATTTAAGTCTTCTGAAGGCATATAAATATAGACGGAAATTGCATTCGTTGTTTGCTGAAAATCTTACATCCACCCTTTGCCTATTGTTCAAAAGGGTCTGGCTGCAGACTTGCGCTTGCACTCTCAGACTTGCATTCTCAGACTTGCACTCTCAGACAGTGTTGCCAGATTGGATTGACGATTTCCAGCCCAAAAACTCACAAAAACCCGCCCAAAACTTTGTCAAAATAATGTGATGGAATATGTAAATCAAGGTTGATAAGGGCCATTTTTAACTCTAATGACGACAAAAATAATATAAATATAAATATAACGTTAGATTTCCCAGGTAACTTAAACGGATCAAATCGAGGCAAAAGCCTACATTAAAGAGAATTAGGCTACCGAACATGAATAAAACATGCAAGAAGACACTGTCAAAACGGCAATCAAGAAATGAACTGATATCCTCAAAACTACACATGCATCATTTTCAATGTCAGCAGTCAGAATAATCCAATTTAAATGCAAAAGTGCCCAATATAAGTGATAGGAAAAAGTAACGTAATTAGCAGGTATTTCACACTCGTTCATGCACACACCATGACAGTCAAAACTGTGTTATTCATTGATACATACTGAATTATAATCCTACAATTAAAAAAAATAACAACAATAATGCGCTTACCTTCGTGTCGCTCTATAATTTTATACAGAACTAGAGGAAGCCTCTTGTTAAGTTGATATTGTAGAACATAATACAGAATTTTGCACAGTCAAAACTAATCAAGTCTAGCAGTTTTCAAGGATTTATCAATCTGGACCGTTTAAAAGATAAAAGACAGGATTGTATAAACTGACATAGCCTATTTAGTTTCGGTTTTGATTAATTCAAATGTGCTCTGATTTCGGAGTTGCAGTGATAGAGTCTTCGTGTCATCTCACTCCACAATAATTCACGTTTTGAGAGTTGTCACTCTCCCACTCTTTAACTTATATTTAGGCATTGGGATTACTTGAATATACACAGTCATATTACATTCAAAATCAGGTAGCCTACGTTATAACTTATCACGCTAAAAACCTGTCACTCAGGAATCAACGTCTGTCTGCTGAGCCCTCGTGATAAGTGCGGCTATCGACGTTTACATTAGCACCAGCGCCTCTGTAGTGTGTGTGTAGTAACGTTGTGATGACTGATTGGATGCAGTACATGCATACTTTGGCTTGTTTGTTAAAGGGGTCAAATGATGCGATTTCAAGTTTTCCTTTCTCTTTGGAGTGTTACAAGCTCTTGGTGCATAAAGAAGATCTGTAAAGTTGCAAAGACTAAAGTACATCATATGACCCCTTTAAACAATTAGCCTATGCAATTTATGTTTGAAAACCGCCAAACTGACCCCAAACCAGCCCAAATTTTGTCCACCCGCCCAAGCCAATTTTTACCCGCACAATCAAATTCAAAACCGCCCAATTGGGCGGGAACCCAATCTGGCCAAAAGGGTCTGGCTGCAGATTTGCGCTTGCATTCTCAGACTTGCACTCTCAGACACTTGCACTTCCATTCACCACTTGTCTTCTTTTACTGTTGTAAAATGTTGAGAGATTCAAACAAAAAGTAATCAATAAATAGAACAAAATAAAAAATAAAAAAGACTGCAAGTGACTTCGCTAGCAGACGTGCAAGTGTCTGAGAGTGCAAGTCTGAGAGTGCAAGTGCAAGGCTGCAGCCAGACCCTTCTCCTATTGTTGGGATCCAGCGATGTCCGATTCATTAGTCATCTGAGTTGAATCTTTTCAATTGATCTAGTTCACAAACCCCATTTAGGCCTGTTTTGTATGGACACGAACCGGACAGACCTTGTTATGTTTAACTCAATGACTCAATTTGTTCTGAGGGGAATAAACAGTGATTTCAATTTCTTTCTGAAACAACGCTTCAGAAGATATATCACGAAATAGGTTGAACCACTTTTATACTTTTTGCGTCCTTTTGGTATTTAAACTTTATTTTTTGTGTTTCACAAAAAGCCAGTTGTAAGGGTTTAGAAAGACAACAAATCTCTTTTGTTGGATGCACTGTAACGTGTCTATATTTGAACATGAAAGCTTGGCCCTCACACTCCCTCCTCTTGAACGCCCCTGACCCGCGACCTTCCTCTAAGGCGCTTCCTTTTGCGCAAGCGCAGAACAGAACACCCGCTGTGAGCACAGTAGAGCCAAGATGGCGGCGGTGGTGGAGAATGTTGTCAAGCTGTGAGTATTTTCCATCCTTATTTGACTACATATGAGATTTGTATGTTGAACTATGATATATAACTTTGAAGTAATAACACAACGTGACGGGCTTCTAAATAACTTGCTTAAAGAGAGCTAAAGACACGTGTTTGACAAGGTTATCCGAGCTCTGGTTAAGTTAGCTGTACTAGCAGCGGTCGTGTCCCGTTGGTTTGAATGCTTCAGTTAGCTTCCGTCTTTCAGCATGATCAGGGAGTAAAGCATGTAGGAGGCTTTTCTGTTCCTCTAATGAGTGTGTTTATGTCAGTGGTGTCATAAAGTGCCACGGGGACCATGTTTTTAGGCGCTCAGATGTTTGATTCAGTTGTTTGTCAGTGCTTTTGTTGCTTGGTTATTCTGCTCAGTTCAGTTTTGGAAGCAGAAGCTGTCAGTCAGTTTTATTGGATTGCAGTTCTGTCATGTATGGATGTGAACATGAGAGACTCGTATCACTTATTTTGAAGCAGGTTACATTTACCTGACGCATTTTATTTATGTTATTAGCTAAATAGTTTGCTCTGCCTGAACGTTATTTCCATAATGATATACTAACTATATCATGTAGTTCTTCATCTGTTTTTGCCACATCAAACTGTCCTGAAACCAGGAAGTGTTTTTGGTGAAAATTGGGCTGTTAAGTGCCTGTGTTCTTTCATTTAAAACAGAATTAGCTGTTCAATAAGGAGCTTTTAGAAGAAGGGCAGTGAAATGGTTAAAAAAGTTTCTGACCCGATTTTGACAGCCCTAGTAGGTACTGGAAACACAGTTCCTTATTCAGCCCTCACTTTTTTTTCTGACTGATGAGTTGAGGACACAGTAGCCAAATCTGCAACAGTCAGAAAAGGGAACAGAAAACAGGATTTGCACTTCAAAACAGACCAAGAATTGTGTTCAAGGCTATTAAAATTTCAGTGAACTTTTCTGTGATTGGAACTAATAGAATACCAACTAGTAACAAACATACTTTAACAATTTGTCCGCTAGTAAAGTTAATTTTGCTGTATCAAACACTCTTACTCAGAAGCCCTGTATACAGCTGCTTTAACATCTGTCTTGGTGGTTCGATCTTAAGTGGCTCCTGTGACCACTTGTCATATTGTGATATATATTTCTAGAATGATTTCTTTTTTTCCTAAACCAGTCAAGCACAGCCTCTACTCTCCATCTGGTTTCATTGATCAACTCAATCACGCAGTCACCTATCAAGAAAGGGTGGAGAGTAGGCATTGGGAGGATCCTATCTATCAGGCACTGTTTTTTTATTATTGTTCATACAAATAAAAATTAAGAGTTTTTTTTAATATTTGTAGTTTTCATGTTAGATTTAGTTTTTGTCATTGTTACATGCTTTTGTTTTTATTAACTTTAGTTATTCACATTGTTTTTATTAGTTTGTTTTCTTTTTAAAATAATTTTTTTTTCTGTTTAGCTTTACTGTAGTCATTTCAGTATTTCCACTTAAATTTATATTTTCATTTACTTGCCAAGGCAACATTTCTCATTTTTGTTACATATAACTTTTTACTCTAGGATCTGCCAAGGCTAAAAGTAATTTGAAAAAGCACATACATATACATTCACAGCATTCATGGCTGTTTACGGTTGTGCATTTATGGTCATTTTACAATGTGGCTCATCCGATATGAAATTAATCTTAATGTTTTAGAATTTTTTTGACAGGTGAATAGGTGGTTATTTGCTGTTGTCTGGGAGGAATCAGGATGCATTAGTGTTTACACCACCAATTCAGTGTGGTCACATTTCTGACTACCTCTGAATATGGTTTGACACTGAACCTCATTTACACCTGGATTTGGTGCTGTCCATCAAGTGGCTCTTAATAGCAGGTGTTTGTGTGGTCAGAGTGTCTAGTTTCTAGTTTGTGGTCAGAGTGTCTAGTTTGTGTACAGAGTGTCTGGTTTGTGGAATGTGCTTTTCCATTGAGCAAGAGACTTTTGAATCTGCAGCTCTGTGTTTTGGCGTCTTTAAGGCTGGCGATCATCCCAGGGCTGTTTTGTTGTCTGGGCTGTAAACCCCTCAGAGCTCTTGGTTCTAACACACCGAAGCTTTAAGCTTTTGTTTCATCCTCTGTGACATCAACGCCCGTCTGTGCTCTAATCTCTCAGCCTTTAACTAGCCTGTGCTCTCTCCGGGGCTCTTAGCGGTTGCCGGGGTGACGGGCGGCAGCAGCACCTGCTAAGTGGCTGGACTGAGAGAGTTACAGTGACTGAGCTGCATGCCTGCAAGACCTCCTGCTGCTTACAAACACACACGGGTGGCTAAGCTGAACAGGGTTGAGCTGGTTTCAGGGCGGCAGTGGTGGGGGGTGTGTTGACACTATTGCTTGTCCCTGACAGAAAATGGCTACTTTAGACTCTGTGTGAGTTTCAAAAAAGCACCTCTGGTTAAACTTGGTTTTTATTCAGGCTGTTGCATTTACCGTGGGCCTTGTTTCTCTGTCTATAGGCTGGGTGAGCAGTATTACAGGGACGCTATGGAGCAGTGTCACAACTATAATGCCCGTCTGTGTGCAGAGAGGAGCGTCAGGATGCCCTTCCTCGATTCTCAGACAGGTGTCGCCCAGAGCAACTGCTACTTCTGGATGGAGAAACGACACAGAGGACCAGGTGGGACACACTCACTCACAGTGGTCTGTTTACAGAACAGAAGTGGGTTTTTAGCATTGGCAGTATACCAAATTTAGTTGATACCAATACCAGTTGTTGTAACATTTAAATCAAGTTTTAATATGCTTATATGTGACCCTGAAGCACAAAACCAGTCTTAAGTCGCATGGGTTTATTTGTAACAATAGCCAAAAATACATTGTATGGCTCAAAATTATTGATTTTTGTTTTATGCCAAAAATCATTAGGATATTAAGTAAAGATCATGTTCCATGAAGATATTTTGTAAATTTCCTACCGTAAATATATTAAAACTTAATTTTTGATTAGTA